GCCCGCGCATGCACCCCTCGGGCGCCTTCTTGACCCAGACCGGAGGGCACGGGGACACCGGCGGAAGGACCGATGCCCCTGGGGCGGTGGATCCACTCGAGGTCGCGCAGTTATCGTACGTCGTCGACGGGCGCGCCGAGATGCTCAAGGCCGCCAGGAACAATCTGCGCAACGGCGCCACCCAGCTGAAGGTCATGGCGGGCGGAGGTTGCGCCTCCGCCTTCGACCCCATACACGTGACGCAGTTCACGCTCGACGAGATCAAGGCTGCTGTGGAGGTGGCCGAGAGTTACGGCACTTACGTGATGATCCATGCCTATCACGACAAATCTATCAACCAGGCCTTGGATGCCGGCATCAAGTGTGTCGAGCACGGCTTCCTCATGGGCGAGGAGACGGTCATGCGCATGAAGCGGGAGGGCGTCGCTTTCAGCCTGCAGTGCGTCATGTCGCTCGAGGCCTTCGGCGACCCGGACAGCATCACCTTCTTCACGCCTGCTCAGAGGCAGAAGGCAAAGGAGGTCAATGCGGGCGCCATGAACGCCATGAAGCTGGCCATCAAACACGACTTGCTGATGGTCACTGGGGGAGACATGTTTGGCGACGGCTACCAGCAGCGGCAGGCCGACAACATCATCTGGCTCGAGAAGGTTGGCATGAGTAACTTCAAGGCTCTCAAGACTGCGACGAGCGATGCTGCAAAGGTGCTGGGGTGGTCCGCCATGAACAAGTACCAGGACGCTGAAGTGGGCGTCATCAAGGAGGGCGCATACGCCGATGTCATCGTTGTGGATGGCAACCCTCTGGAGGACCTCCGCGCGCTGAAGCGGGAACACGTGAGGATCGTCGTCAAGGACGGCAAGACATACAAGTACACGCTGGACGACAAGGCCCTCAAGGTGGTGCACAGGCTCCACGAGCACGAGTAGGACCTCAAGGCCCCCGCTGGCTTTTGGAGGTCGTGGGGGATTTGGTGGAGCAGCAGAAGCAGCGCGTCCCGAGGGCGACGCGTAGTCGCAGGGACGGGGCGAGCTCACGCTCCTGGGCGCGATCCTCGAGCCATGCCGACAGCCCCACCGCTGCATGCTGCATGCGCGCGGCGCTGGATGCGATGTCCTCAGAGCGCGGGGCGCGGCCGAGCGTCCTGGCAGCAGCCCGGGGGGCCATGTAGTCCTGCACGCAAAAGCCCAGCGCATACGTTTCAATTTGTTTTAAGCAGCATGCCCAGTGGCAGGACGTCGCTAGCAGGATGCGTTGCAAGCATCTCGCATCGCATGTATCCAGACAGGCCAGATTCTAGAGGCCACGGCCTCACCCACCTGGTCTGAGCTAGGCCCAGACGCTGTCCGCAACGGTGGTCGCACCGCTTCGAGTCGCTAGACTGACGCAGGCCGTGCAGGGGCCGACAGCATGAAGCGTCTTCGACTGCGAGGCCGGCCTGCCAGGTGCCTTGGCGCCTCTACCGGCAGCGCCCTGGAGCAGATGCACACCGCACCTGTGGAGGGACGGTGCGAGGAGAAGAACAGCACAGGCCACTTGGTGCAAGCACTGTTGGCAACCAATCGCGTTATTGCGGGTTTGGGGAGGCCCTCTCTTGGACCCTCTCGTGGGCATGTGTGGGCCTTCGCTAGGCCGTTCTGGGCCGTCTCCGGGCAACCTGCAGGCCCCCGCATGTGAACGTTGGCTGGGCTCGCCGCGGCTCTTCTGGAACCAGCTTGAGCCAGCTTGTACCCAGCTGCCTACGGCAAGTCCCGCCACCGTGCCTGTGCTGTGGGTTGTAAGCCTAGTGGATGTTCATTGAGATCTCGTGGGAGGCTTCTCGGGGGCTTCTTGGAGGCAGTTTTGAGGCCTCTTGGGGGTTGTTGTTTTGGGGCCTCGTGGGGGCCTCTTGGGGGCCTCGTGGGGCCTCTTGCGGGCTCCGGCGCGCTCCCGAAGCGACTCCAGAGAGCCCCAAGACGGTCCACGACGACCCCGAAGAAGCCGTCATACCCCCAAAGGTCGCTCCAAGACGTCCCAAGAGACCTCCAAAAGCACTCCCAAGAAGTCCCCAAGAGGCAAAATTCATTGATTTTCTGTTGGTGGCTGGTGAAGTTGGGGGTTCTCCTCTTTTCGGCTTTCCGACGCTGCAAGACGGCGGTCTTCTTGGCGTCCGGAGCCTCCTGGGAGGCTCGAAAATCACCCCCCGCAACCATCCGAAAAGGCTTCCAGGCAGTCCAAGAGGGGCCCAAGACGGCACAACAGGGTTCCAAGATGGCCTAAGAGTGCCCCGTGACGGCCCAAGGATGGCCCCAAGACACCCTCCGAAGCATTCCAAATCGTGACCTGGTCTTTCAGGGAAACCGCGATTGGAGGCGGGGTGGCCCGAGGAAGCCCCCAGAGGCCCCCAGAAGACGCTCAGGGGGCCTCCAGAAGGCTTCCAGAAAGCAAGAACAACTTTTGTAAGGCCCCCCGAGGCTCTCCAAGGAGGAGCCTCCGCAAAAAGAGCTGAGGAGGATGAGGAGAATACGCACGGTATGGCGAGAATAGGGGAAAAAAGCGTGGAGGAAGGATAACGCATCACATTATCATAACGGCGATGCCAGAAAGGCAACATGGAGTTATCACTACAGTGTCGACTTGACTTTCCTGCCATTCCGCCTCCATACCAAACGGCGACGACGACGACGACGACGACGGCGGCGACGACGACGACGGCGGCGACGGCGGCGGCGGCGGCGGCGGCGCCGATCTCCAGAGCCCTCCTCCTCCGACGACGGCGGCGGCGGCGACGACGACGACCTCGGGAGCTCTCCTGGAGCACGTCAGTACCACGCCACACACGCCACACCCACAGCACCACACCACACCCAGGGGGGAGGGGCCCGATGCCATCAGCATGGTGGGGGGTGGGGGGGGGCTCGGATCTGGATCATATATCCCCGCCTCGCACTGGAGGGAGGCGAGAGTGGCGTCCAGGAGGGAGACCTACCAGGTCAGTAGGACCATCCAGTTTCTACTGGGTGGGGCATGTGGTGCCCATCTGTGTCAGCGTCCTGCTGTGACACACTGTGCATTCATACATAGATGCATACATTCACAGATCTATGTATACATATCTGCTGCGCGTGTGGATTAGTCATGTGTCTGTTTGTCTGTCGTGTGTCTGTTTGTCTCCGATCGCCGGCGGAGGAAAATCGTCTGCGTGTGTCTGTTTGTCTGTCTGTCTGTCTGCCTGCCTGCCTGCCTGCCTGTCTTTCTGTCTGTCTGTCTGTCTGTCTGTCTGTCTGTCTGTCTGTCTGTCTGTCTGTCTGTCTGTCTGTCTGTCTGTCTGTCTCGGTCTGTCTCGGTCTGTCTGTCTGTGTGTCTGTCTGTCTGTCTGTCTGGCTGTCTGTCTGTCTATCTGTCTGTCTGTCTGTCGGTTCTGTCTGTCTGTCTGTTTGTCTGTCTGGCTGTCTGGCCCTGTGTGTATGTGTGTGTGCGTGGAGGTGTCTCTCTTTCTCTGTCCGTGTGCCTATCTGCCTGTCGGTGGTGTGCGCGTGCCTGTGAACGTGTGCTTCTGAGGCGTTTGGCCGAGAGTCCAGATACCGGGCGCCCTGCGACGTCCCCTGAGAGACCCGACGCTGCGAAGCGAATTCGACATCGCAAGCACTCACGGCTGGATCCCCAGACCGAAGGATTGCAAAAAAAAAACCAGCGATTGCAAAAACCACCAACGATTGATTGCAAAAAAAACAAAACAAAACAAAAACAAACCTTTGCAATCCTTTGCAATCCTTCGTCCTGCGGCAGTTCCCGAGCCGGGTCTGCCTGTGGTGGTCCCAGGGTCCGACGTTGGTCAGCCACGCGCACAGGGGGGCTGGGGGGGAGGGGGGAAGGAGTCTTACAGGAACCCCCCCGATTCTCAGAGGGCGCGGGCCTTGTCTGTAGATGTAGGGTCAGCTCCTTCTGAGGAGAAGCCAGAGAAGCCTCCTTCCAAGAAGGCTCCCTCCCGCTGCCCCCTTCCCAGACATCCCGCCGCTCCATTTTTTGGGGGTGCGTGGGCCCTGGAGGTCATGGACCACTTCCCCCGGGCCGTCTTTCGTCCCGAGAGTAGTTTTTCGTTGACGCCCGAGGCCTGGCGAGGGCGATTTTTGTTTTTTTGTTTCTTAACAAAAAACGGCTGGCGCACACCGCGAGGAGGTCTGGGTTGGGCGGGAACGCCCGGCAGCGTCCGGATCTCCGGGGTTTGCCGATTCCCTCCGAGAGTCACCGAGCGCGGTCCGCTACTCGCAAAGTGCCTACTCGCAGACGTCTGGAAACGAGTGCCTCCGTCGATGTACGGGATCGTAGATCCCGCGCGGCGGATCCGGGCCATTTGCGAGCAGTTCATGGAGGGAGGAGGACGATTATGATAGGACCGTGGGCCGTGCTCACGCGACGGCGCGCCTGGAGTGATGCTCAGAAAAAAAAGCACTCGGGCCGGGACGCTACTCTTGTTCCGCGCCTGTTTGCAGGGAGCGCGAGCACCTTGCGAGCAGTGGAGCGCGCCTGTCTGAAGAGGCGCGCCCAGGGTGCGGCCCGCAGAGCCATGGCGGCGGCCCTGGCCGCCCGCCCGGCGCTGCGGCTGGGGCCCCCCGCCGCGGGCGGCCCCTGCGCCGGGCGCGCCCGCGGCGCCGCGCGGTCGCCGGCGGGCCGCGGCGCGGCGGCGCCGAGCTCCGCGCTCGCAGTGCTGGGTGCTCGGGCGGGTCGGAGCGGGCTTTTCCTTGGCATCGCTCGGACGTGTGCGTTTTTCCTTCGGCGAGGACCATCGAGGAGCATCCTTGATCATGTGGCGAAGAAGCAGCGCACGAAGCCAAACAAAAAAAGGGAAAATGGACGTCCGAGCGATGGCCGGTTTCTACCAGAGGAGGAACCTCGAAGGCGAAAAAGCGCCATAAACATAAGCTTGTGGCGCTCCGCGCGGATTTCTTGCATCCGCGCTGGGCTCCCCCCTCCCCCGCGGCGCCTCCGGCGCCGCCCCTGGCGCGCTCCGCGCGCCAGAGAGGGGGGGGTCCAGCGCTCGCAGTGCTGGGTGCTCGTCTGGTCGACCTCAAGAGGTCATCGTTTTGTTATTCATTGTTTTGTCGATCGTCGCGGGCCCTCGCACCCGTCCCCTCCTCCCCCCCTTCCCCTCCTGGAGTAGGTCTTGGCCGTTTTGGGCGCCTGTTTCAAGCAGGTGGAGCCTATCCCGCAGGACGCACTGCTGCAAACAGTCGCACTAAGCAGAACGCACCCCGGGAGAGGTCCAGGGAGTAGCGGTATCGATACCTCTCGGTTTCCCCATCCTGGGCCTCTCAGATATGGGGTCCGGGCAGATGGGGTCGGATGATCGCGCCGCATCGCCGATGCATCGCCGAGGCGGCTCGATGTGGAGCCCGATTTTCTTCACGACGACGGTGCCGATGCATCGCCAGTGTCGCCGATGCATCGGCGATGCGGCGCGATCCTCCAACCCCATCTACTCGGACCCTATCTAGGAGGCCTCATCTTTGCGGGCAAGATCTATCACTCCTCCCCCCTCGTCCCTCTCGCCTTCCCCCGATCCCCCCTCGAGTCATGAGAAAAAATCGCGACGGGAGGTGTTCCGCTATATTCGGCCTCTGGGAGCCCTTACCGGGCCTCGGGAGGGTCGAAAAACGGCACAGGACGAACAACGGGTCCCGGGGAATGGGTCCAGACCTTTGGGGGTCGACGTAATGAAAAAATCACAACGTCGGGGGTATGGGCGTTGCGGGGAAGATTGTACAGGCAACGCGCTTAGTAAGGACGCGTGAATTCATCCAGGGTGCCCTCGTGTCCTTGCCTCTGCGGCCTGTCCTTTGCCGTGTTCACTGGTCGTCCGCTGCCCAAAAAGTCCTAACTTCGGCTTCCAAGGGTCTTGCGCCCTTTACCATCTGTCCTTAATACACGGTTTGATTGTATCCGTGTCCATTGCGTCTTGGTCTGTCTGGGAAGGGGCGCCAAAAAGGCCTAGGCGCAGCGAACCAATAATTAGGACAAACAAACATCTAGCCTCTGGGGGCCAGACCGTTATCCATGCCCACTGCGCCTCGTTTGTCTGTGTGAAGGGCGCCCTGAAACTCCCAGCTGATGCGAATGTGGATGCGCAGCTTCCCCGCAGTCGGCCTTCTCTTGGAGACTGTGTTTTTTGGTGGCCTCTGGCGCGCAACGGTCGTCACACGTGACACGGGCCAGCACCCCCCCCCCCGCCATTTGGGTAACGGGAGCGATCGCACGCAGGGGGGGCCTGGACCCCCCCCGCATGCGGGTGCTCGCGCGCAGACTGCGGCGAGCGCAGCGCATCCCCGCCCCGAGGTGCCCCACCCCGCCCGAGCGTTATATACTGTTACCTGGGGCCCCACTCCCCACCCCTGGGCAACGACCGCCGCCAGAAATTGCATAAAACCCAGCATCGGCCTTCCGAGGCCGGCTCCCTTGAGGATCGGAATGGGTACGGAGAGAGTGGTCGAGCCGCCAGTCGTTCAGACGATTTCGTCGGTTCTCGGCGGCCTGCCGGCCTCGAAACGCGTTCTGGCAGCTGCGCCCCGCTGTGGGCATCTCGGCGGTGCTCGGATCGTCCCGAACGCCCGCCAGAGGCCCGAGTTATGACCAGAAAGCCAGACGACGAGAACGAATGGCGACGAAGACCGACAGCACTTTCTGCCCACGGTGCCCACTTTTGGACTGGGCTCGCTGTCGGTGTCGCTGGAGCGGGCCTGTGGGTCGGGGAGGGGCCACGTCTGTAGAAGTGCCACCGAGGCGTGTGTGCTCAGGGGGGACAGGCGCTCTGGAGGCCCGCCCGCCCCCCCTGGCAAAGCCAGTCGGGCACACCGACACGCTGAGCGTGTTGTGGCGGCCAGCCTCTCCGCCAACAAAGTCGTCGCCGCAATAGCCGCAACTATTCTTTCAACAAATCAGCGCAACAGTGGGAAACGAAATATTTGTCTGGCAACGGAAACTCATTATTTTTCCCCGCCGCCGCCGCTGACGACGACACCCACGTTTTCGACGAGGAGTTTACTAAACCCCCCGCTGCGTGGGTTCATGCGCCTCGCCCCGAGCAGACTCTCCGCCCGGGCGTCGCCCCGCTGCTTGCATCGGACGCATCGCACACCCCCACCCCGTGCGGCCCCTTTGTTCGGGATGTGGGGCCAAGCGCGGTTCCTCGAATATTCTTTCCCCCCTGCCCCCTCCCCAGACCCCCTCGGGCAATGACAAATTCATGACGGGAGGTCTTTGCAATGTTTGGCCTCTGGGGGCCCTTACCGGCCCTCGGAACCGTCAAAAAACGATTCGGGATGAAAAACCGGTCCAGGGGAATGAGTCGAGACCTCCAGGGGTCGACGTAACGAAAAAATCATGACGTGGGGGGGTTGGGTCCCGCGGGCGTTGTCCGTTCGAGATAGAAGGTCGCCCGCCCAGCAGCGGCCGCCGCCGGTTTTGGACAGCCAGTCCCCGAAGGGTTCCAGAGGAAACTATTCGGCGGGCTTTTTCCACGGCGTCCCCCCCAAGGGCTTCGCAGCGTCCCCATCCCTGGCAGGCGAAGCCCTTCGGGGACTCTGTGGAATATCCCCTGCCGAAAAATCCTTTGGACCCCCCGATGGCATAATGATCGGGGGAGGGGCGAGTAACCTTCCGACGCAGCGTCCCCATCCCCCCCCCGCCCCCCCGATGCCCACCTAAAGTTCTCCCCGCCCACCCCACCTGACCCAGGAACCTGAGCTGCAAAACGGCACGCGCCCATGCCCCCCCCTCCCCCTCCTCCTCCTCCCTCCTCTCCTCCTCCTCCTCCTCCTCCTCCTGGTATCCTCCTCCTCCTCCTCCTCCTCCTCCTCCTCCTCCTCCTCCTCCTCCTCCTCATTCGAACCCAATGGGGGGGCGATGCTTTTGCCGGCCGCAGTGCCGCTGTCTGCTCCGGGTTCGCGTCGGGCCCGCCGAGAGGTGCGGGGCTGGCCCTCGCGCGGGCCTGCCGGGGCGGGCGCGGCCTGGGGCCAGGGGGCGGCCGCAGGCTTCTGGACGCCCGAGATGGGCACGGAAAGAATGGGTACGGTAGGTTCGCGTCGTGTCGACCGGCGGCGACCCCAGCGCGGACGTTCAAGGTTGAACGCCGCCGGCGACCCAGAATCGATCGATGTTGAACGATCGGACGTTGCGGCAGCGGCCGATCGTTCAAGGTTGAACGATCCCTGCGGTGTCAAAAACCAACGCTGGGGTCGGCACGACACGAACCTGCAGGACTCGCTGTCCGCGCCGCCGCGGCCTGTGTCCATTCGAGACAGAGGGCCGCCTGCCCAACGGCGGCCGCTGCTGGTTTGGGACAGCATTTGCTGTTGGGCATCGTACCCATTTTTTCGGTACCTATTTCGGGCGTCCAAACAGGCTGCGCCGGGGGGTCGGCCGGAGGGCGGCGGTGTCCACCGCGTGGGAGCCGGGCAGACAGGACGTTCGGAGAGTCGGTCAAGTCGGGCGTGTCCCTCTACAGGGAGGAAGGTTCAAAAACGGTCGAAGCATTAGTCAGAGGGACGATGCTTTTCAGATTTGATGGTTATGTTTGAGCATTTGTGGGCTATGTTTTAGCTTTCATGCAAAAAAGCCCTGTAGGAGGACATGCCCGACCTAAGCGTTCGGGTCCGCAGAGGATCGGGCGGGTGGTAATCCAGGGTGGCTTACATGGGGGGCGAAGAAAAGGCTCTAAAGGGGGGCTTTTTTCTTCACCCTCCATGTAGGTTACCCCCCATTCCCACTCGCCCGAGAGGAGGCTCTGGTTAACCCAATAGGGGGTCCAGCTCTACAAGGGGGTGGTGCAATAGATTTGGTGCAATATATTTGTGGGGTTACACTCGATCTGGGGCGTGTAATCCACTCTGGGGCGCAAAGGCATTGCTGGACTTTTGCTTGTAATGCAACAGTGGTAAACAATGCAATCCAATTATCTGGCGAAGTGCATTTGCAATGCAGTTGCCCCAATTCTATAGCACAACACCCTTTCAGCTGGACCACCATGTGTTGGTCAGCCCGAAGGACGGTCGGACGTTCGGGTCCGCGGAGGAGTACCAGGCCCACCTCGCTCGCGAGGGCGTCCTGCCTCGTGGCTTCCGCATCGGCAGGGCTAAGCTGTCGTTCAGCCCCGTGGAGTCGCAGATGGTGAAGGACGCCAAGATGAACCTCACCATCGTGGCTTTGGACGAACCGACCGACCACTATGCGCTGGTGTTCACCTCCAACGCGTTCCCGGGCTGCCCCGTCCGCGTCGGGCGGCGGCGACTGGCCGAGAGGAAGCCTCTGCAGGTGATCGAAGGAAAACGAACTTCGTAAACATAAGCTTTTGCAGTGCCGCGCGGATTTCTCGGATCTGCGGTGGGCCCCTTGCATGGCGCGCGGAGCGCGCAGGGGGGCCATCTGGGGGCTCCGGGCGCGGATCCAAGAAGTCTGCGCGGAGCTCTCTAAACTTGGTTTTCTGCAGTGTTGTTCGTCCTCCAGGCGATCGTCGTCAACAACAAGGTATCCAACGTCTGCCCCGGTGGCGACGGGGAGGCCGCGAGCGAGGCGGTGTGCGGGGCCGTGGCGGACGCCCTGGGCCTGGCGGGCGGGGCTGGGGCCGTGCTGCCGTGCTCCACGGGGGTCATCGGCTGGCGCCTGCCCGTGGAGGACGTATCGGTAGCAAAGCATGGGAGCTTGGTAGACCCTCGTAACTCCGTCTTGAGAGTGCACTGCGCCGATTGGCGTCTGGCAGTCGAGGAGCGTAGCGCCGATGCGGCGCAACAGATGCGTCGATTTAGCGTCGACGTAGCGTCGGTCAGCGCCGCCCCGCGAGAGCCAGCAAGACGGCAGGGGAGGCTCCCATTGGCTGCTGCAGATCATCGAGCACAGAGGAACCCCTAACCCTACTAACACTGTGAAGACGCGGCCTCACCGAGGTCCCCGTCTTCGAATGCGGGATCATGGATCTGGGCGACTTGGTCTGATACATATGCAAAAGAGACCCCCTATCCCCAATGTTTTTGGGGCCCTCCTAACCTAGGTTCCCTACCAAAGGGTCAGGGGTTCTTGTTGGGTTACTCAAGAGAAGGAGATGAAGGCCGCAGTGCCGGCAGCAGTCCAGAGCTTGCAGGCAGAGTCCGCAGTGCCGGGCGCGGAGGGCATCTGCACCACGGACCGGTATCCGAAGGTGGTGTCCCAGGAGTTGCCTGGCGGCGCGCGCATAGTGGCTTTTGCGAAGGGCGCGGGCATGATCGAGCCCAACATGGCCACCATGCTGGGGTACGTCCTCACAGATGCCGACCTCCCCTGCGGGCCCCAGGAGCCTCCCCCTTCATTCACGCAGGCAGGGCCTCGTCGCACCACCAGACGCGTCGGCAGGCTGGGCCGGGAGTTTCGATTGATACGCTTGCACAGCATCGGCGAGGAGACCCTATTTTTCCATGCTTGCACACGAGGGGGTTGCTTGTGTTAGAAAGTTGATCTCTCGCTGAGTAGTTCTTGGGGGCCCTCACCGGGCCTCGGACGAGGGTGAAGAACTGGTCCCCAGGAAGGGATTCAGACTTCTGAGGGTCACGTCGTGGAAAAATCACAGCGTCGGGGGTCTGGGTGGGTTCAACATATGTCCGCGGAGTCTGGCCGAACCCGCCATGAGCTTATCAAGAATCCATCCCTCTAGATCACAATAAGGGAAAGAGCGTGTTCTACCGCTGCTGGCGGAAAACCGGGGGGGGTCACTACCGGTTCGAACCCCTCCCCCCCCCCCCCCCCCCCCCCGGAAAACCGGGGGGGGTCACTACCGGTTCGAACCCCTCCCCCCCCCCCCCAGCTCATCATGAAAAGGGGGGGGGGTCACTACCGGTTCGAACCCCCCCCCCCCCCCCCTCGAAAACCGAGTGGGGGTGCGGACAGTGGTGGGGACGGTGTTGGTGGGGACAGTGGTGAGGGGACAGCGGGACAGTGGTGGGGACAGTGGGGGGACAGTGGGACAGTGGTGGGGACGGTAGTGGTGGGGACAGTGGTGGGGACAATGGTGGGAACAGGGGGGACAGTGGACAGTGGTGGGAACGGTGGTGGTGGGGACAGTGGTGTGGGGACAGTGGGAATGAGGTGGAAACACTGGGACAGTGGAGGGTACAATGGTGGTGGAGACACTGGTAAAGGCGGTGGCGAGGACGGCGGTGGGACAATGGGACAGAGGTACAGTGGGGACAGTGGCGGGGACAGTGGGGACAGTGGTGGAAACAGTGGGACAGCTCAGTGGGACAGCGGAGGAGTCAGTGGGACAGTGGGGACAATGGGGATAGGCAGTGGTTGGGTTCGTGGAGACAGTGGGGAGAGTGGAACCGTGGTGGGAACAGTTGTGGGAACAGTGGGGACAGTGCGACAGTGGTGGGGGCATTGGTGGGGACAATAGGGACGGTGGTGGAACCAGTGGGGACAGTGGTGGTGAGGACAGTGGTGCTGGGAACAACAGTGGGGGATGTGATGCGAGCGGTGGTAGGGACCGGGAGTCGTTTGCTGGCGGTGCGTGGGGGGGGGGTCGAACCGGTAGTGACCCCCCTCCGGTTTTCGAGGGGGGGGGGGGGTTCCAACCGGTAGTGACCCCCCCCGGTTTTCCGGATCCGGAGGGGGGGGGGGGGGGGGGGGGGGGGGGTTCGAACCGGTAGTGACCCCCCCGGTTTTCGAGGGGGAGGGGGGGGGGAGGGGTTAGGGGAGGGGGGGGTTTTGCCGGGAGGGAGGGGGGGGGGGGGGGGGAGGGGTTCCCGGCAGGGGGGGGGGGGATTTTCGGAGGGGGGGGGGGGGGGGAAGACCCCCGGGTTCCGGAGGAAAAGGTTGGCAATTTTCCACAGTAAAGCGGCGGTGGATCACGCTCTCTCCAATAAGGAGGTCTCGGGTCAGGGCGCAAGTTTGAAAACGGCCATCCGACCATCACTGTAACTCACCCGTCTCTCCGCCGAACAGTTGAACAGTTGCTTGCGGGGGGCCCTCGGGCAAGAATCCGATTGCGAAGGCTAGGCAAATCTTGCAATGCAACTGTTGAGAGCTATCGTCAGCCTGACGGGTTGCAACGAACACTTGAGCAAGAGCTCAGCGTTGGATACATACAACCCTCCATCACGGCACCTGTTCGGGTATACTGCTCCAAGACGATCACGTGTGAAGACAGTCCGATCGAGAACGCAATTCCCGCCTTACATCGGTGTGAATGTTGTCAAGGACTTCGGGGTCACACTTTGTCAGAGGCCGAGACTAGCGATAAACCTCCCGTCGTGATCTTTGGACGGCGCGAGGAGGTTTGGGTACACATACGGTCAAGTTTGATTAGTGGTTTGACCCTTCTAGAGGTCAAGGGTATTTGCGCGCCTGTGTTTTGCGTACCGTGTTCTCTGCATTCCTGGTGCAGTGCATCCTTCGAAAGAGTCTCGTGTCCTCTCGCGCGTCCTCCCCAATCAAGCTCGAACGCAAGCCACCAGGATGGTGGACCCCTTCCCGGGGATTGGTATTTTATCCTGCGTCGTTTGTTGACACTGAGCCTGTTTTTGTTTAGATCCGGGCGAGTTTACTTGCATGGCGTTCGCCGACCCCCATTTCGCCCCTTCTTCAGACGAGCACCGACGTGCAAGTGCCTGTCGACTTGCGCGGTTTCCGCACGTGCAAGTCGTTTGCGGCTTACTTCAGGTTCAAGCCTCCCCCCCGTCCATGCAAGTAAATTTGCCGGGGTCTGTAAATAACAGGTTCCAGTCCCGAGACCCGGCGAGGGCCCCTGGAGTCCGAAAATAGTGAAACATTCTCGTCCCGATTTGAGCTCATTTTTTTGTAGACTCCGGCAAGTCTGCTTGCATGGACGGGGGGGGGAGGCTGGAACCTGAAGTGAGCCGCAAACGGCTTGCACTTGCGGAAGCCGCGCAAGTCGACAGGCACCTGCACACGCCAGTATTCGTCTGAAGAGAGGGGAGGGGGGGGGGGGGGGCGAACGCCGTGCGAGTGACCTTGCCCGAGTCGACAAAAGAAGCAGGCTCTTTTGGCACGGCGCGAGGGGGTGCCGGGGGAAGGGACTCGTGGTCTTCGGCCTGGTCGCGAGCGATCTCGGCCCCGGGGGGCCTCTTCGTGGCCGCGGCACGCCCCTCCGCGCCCTCGGTGCGGAGGGACCCTGCGCGGCCGGCCGGCGCCGCCCTCCTTGGGCGACAATCCCCCACGGCGGAGGCGAGGCCTCTCCGAGGAGGTCGGGGGCAGGCGCTCCCAGCCCAGACCTCCTCGCGCTGCGAGGGAGTCACGGCGGAAGAGTTTTCGCTGGCTGTTCGGCCTCCTCTGGGGCCCTCCGTGTGCCTCGGGGCCGTCAGACAAGGGCTCGGGAGGAGAACTCGGTCCCCAGGAAGGGGTCCAGACCTCTGGGGGTCGAGGCTGCGAACAACGGCGCGACGTCGCGGGTCTGGGAAGAGTGCCCTGGAGGCGGCGGGAGGCCCCCGAGAGGTGCCCAAGAACCCCCCCCTGAAGTTCTGGGGGTGCCTTGGGAGCCTCTAGGGAGCCTCCATGGGGCTTCCTGGCAGCTCCTCAGGGGCGCCTGGGGGGACTCGTGGGGGCCTCCAGGACAGCTCAAGAGGCCTCCAGGACGGCCCAAGAGGGCTCCAGTAGTGCTCAGGAAGCGCTCGAGACGGCCCAAGATGGGCCCAAGAGGGGCCCAAGCAGGGGACCGCGAACCGAACATGTGATATTTGTGCCCCGAGAAGCCCCCAGGGGGCCTCTTGGGCCCGGACCTCCCGAGGGGGTGGTATTCTGACCTTGGGACCCCCCTCCAGGACACCCCCCCAGCCCAACCCCTCCCGAGACTCCCCCCCCCGCGGAGGCGGGGAAGGGATCCTAAGGAAGGGGCTGCCTCCTTTCGACTCAGCTACGACGTTGCTCAATTTCGCTTCGGCTGTTTTGTTGTGGCTGGCGCGCTTAAAGAGGAGGGCCCTGATGCTTCTTGAAGTCTCTTTGGAGCGCTCTCGGAGGCCTCTTAGGGGAAAGTTTGGGGGTGTCTAGGAAGCCTTTTAGGAGCCTCCTGGAGCTTCCTGGCGGCTCTTTGGGGGCGTCTGGGGTCTCGTGGGGGCCTCTGCGGGGCCTCGTTCGCCTCAGGGCCCACTGGGGGATGGTATTACTGACCCCCCGGACACTCCCCCACTGACCCCCCGGACCCGCGCCCCCCCCTGGCGGGGATCACAGGGAAGGGCTCTCCCTTCGACTCAACTACGACGTTGCTCAATTTCGCTTAGGCTGTTCCACGCTTAAACTGGCGTGCTGCAGGAGGAGGGCCCAGGGAAAAGGGGGGAGCGGTGACGACGACGACGACGACGACGACCACGACGACGACGACGACGACGACGACGACGACGACGACGACGACGACGACGACGACGACGACGACGGCGACGACGACGGCGGCGGCGGCGGCGGCGGCGGCGGCGGCGGCGGCGGCGGCGGCGGCTGCGTTGACGACGACGACGACGATGACAAGTCAAACGAAACAGCCCCTCGCACTCGCCGAAAGGGTCGGCGGATTTGTGTAGCGTCCATTCTGGTTGCAGCTTGGTTGTACGGCGTCGGCTCGCGTCGTTTCGGCCGCCCGTGGGCCGCCTCCGCGGACAGAATGCTGACCCTCAAAGCCTTTCTCGGGCGCTGAGTTTGTAGCATGTGCTGGTCGGATCACAGACAGGGCTTCGAGACAGGAACACGTGTGAGTCGTTCCAGGAAGACATCTCTTCCAGAGCCTGTTTTCTTTAGACTGGCAAGTTTACTCGCATGGACGGGGGGAGGGCTCGACGCAACCGACTTGCACGTGCGGAAAACCACGCAAGTCGAGAGGCCCTTGCACGCAGGTGTTCGTCTGAAGAGGAGCGAGGTGGGGGGGGGGGAGGGGGTGGGGGAGGCGAACACCATGCAAGTAGATTTGCAATTTTCAGGAGGGGAAAAAACACACAGACACAATTAATCAGCGATTCCCAGAAAATATGGGAAACTATGGGAAGTTTGGGGAAGACAAAAGCAAGCCCAAAAAATATTAGAAAATATGGGGAATAGTTTGATTTGTGTGTATTTATGTGTGTGTGTGTCCTGGTGCCCCTTCAGGGAGGGGGGGGGGGGGGGGAGGGCGAACGCCGTGCAAGTGAATTTGCAATTTGGTCAGGATCTAAACAGAAGCAGGTTTCCACGGCGGAAGGCCAGCGGAGAAAGGCAGGCGGCGGAAGAGCACGTCGGGGGCGCCCCCTTCGCCGGCGGAGGTCCGCGGCGGAAGGCGGCGGAAGCAGGACCAGGGCCCCCTCTCGAGGTGTGAACATGTTTTGTTTCACCCCTCCTCCTCCTCCTCCTCCTCCTCCTCCTCCTCCTCCTCTCCCTCCTCTCCCTCCTCCTCCTCCTCTTCCTCTTCCTCCTCCTCCTCCTCCTCCTCCTCCTCCTCCTCCTCCTCCTCCTCCTCCTCCTCCTCCTCCTCCTCCTCAGGGTGTCCAGAACCAACCATGTGGGTCAGAAGGTGCTCGGCGTTTTTATGTTATTAATATCTCTGTCTTTCGCGCGGTAAAGCTCGTGGGGCAGAACGGGCGTGCGTTGCGCTCTGCCGCCCAGTGGCCGTTCACCACACGGGGTTGCCCCCGGGGCTGTTCGCTTGATGGTTGCCCCCCGTTGTGCATACGTTCCTGTCGTGCGGAAGATGTTGAGGAGGTTGGAGTCGGGTATCGCCAGGACCCCAGGTAAGGGGACTCGGTTAATAGTAGGGCCCTGGAGCCCCTAAATCGGCCAGAATCACTGCACCAGGTCTGCCGCAGCCGGTGTTTTTTCGGGTGATGGCAGTTCCGGTTAGTGGAACGGGACGGGGGGGGGCCGTCCCCCAGTACACATCACTCAACCAGGTCCCGGTAGACCCAGAGTTCTGCCAACGCCCGATGGAGGTTCCATCATTCGGGCGAAGAGAACTATGCACATGCACTGATCCAGGTAAGGCCCATCCTTGACCCAGGATCGGTGCATATGCCTTCCTGGCCAAGGCAGGAGGGCGTATGCACCGATCATGGGCTCAGGATGGGTCTGGCCAGAATCGGTGCATGTGCATAGTTCTCTTTCCTCTAATCATGGTGTCCGCTCCCAAAGGTCGCCGCGCCGTTTGTGCCGACGCGCGGCCTCCCGCCTCGTGGCGGGCGCCTCGGCCACCAGGGCGAACACCGCCTCGGGCGCAGGGCTCGCCGTGGCGTCCGCCGCGTCTCCCGGGGCGCGGGGCGCAGGGCCGGCCGCGGGTTTGCCGTGGCGTTGGCGTCGTCCACTTGGGCGCGGCGAGAGCACACGGCGCGGCGACGTCCTCTCCCAACAGCAAACAGAAGCGTACGATCCGCAGCATCGGTGGCGCGTGGCTTCGGGCCCTCGCCCTCGTCCCGGTCCGCCCGCCCTCCGCATCTGCCCCGTCGCCCGCCCCGCGTCCGCCTCCGCGCCCCCAGGTCCTCGGCGGCGAGCGGGGGGGGGAAGTGAGAAGGAGAAGGTCCTCTCAGAAGGCGGCGGGGCCTCTCGGAAGCCCTCGCGTCTTCTGAGATTTGTTCTGCGTCCCTGGGGAAGGCTCAGACAACTTCTCAGACGGCCAGGGGACTTCCTGGCCTTCTTAGGAGGCTTGTTCCTTCTCACTCCCACCCTCCCCCCCCGGCTCGCCGCCGACTCGTCCTCCTCCTCCTCGGGGTCATGTCGGGTCTCCCCTCCAAGGAGGCTTATGGGGGGCCAGCAAGGAGCAAGAAACGGTCAGACGCCTCTCTCCTCGACGTCACAGAGTGTTGGGGATTGCTTGCTCAAAACTAATGGAAGTTACATTGATGCGTCCCTCTCACAGTCACCTTGATGCTTCGCGTACCCCCAACGATGCCCAGTCGAGTTGCCCTGCTCAGGGATGTCGATGAGCATGCTGTGGAACAAACTTGCTGGGGAAGTCGTCAGATTCCAAGAGGGGGAGGATGGAGGAGGAATCGGAGGAGGGGGAAGGGGAGGTGGAGGAGGGAGGAGGAAGGAGGGAGGGGCAGGAGGATTAGGAATAGGCGGATGAGGAGGAGGAGGAGGGCAGAAAGAAAGGCCAGAGGCCTCTTGGATGCCTCGCTGCGTCTCTTCGGATGTCTCTTGAGACCTTCTTGGAGTCCTCTTGGGGCGTCTTGGGAGCCTCTTGGCGGTCCTGGGGGGGCTCTTGGAGCGTATTGGGTACCTTTGGGGAATTTCTTGGGGCCTATTGAGGGTCCCTTGGGAGTCTCTTGGGGACCTCTTGGGCGCCTCTTCTTGGGGCCCCCTTGGGAGCCTTGGGAGCCTTGGGACCCATCTTGCGGCCATCGTGGAGGGGATCGATCAAAAAGAAGGGTTGGTACCATATTAGGGCTCCCCCCCAGGCTGCCAGAATGGCTCCAACACCTACGTTAAAACAATGATGTTTGCCTTCTCTCCGAGGCCGTCATGGACGCTCCAATGGGTCGCGACCCCCCCTCCAGACCCAGGGGGAAGGGGGGCGGGGGAAGGACAAGCTGGGTGCGCTCGCGTCATATCTGACGTCCTACCCCTCCCTCCCATCCCTTACCATGGCGTAGATCTCCTCTCTATTCGCACAAACGGATGTCGTAGCACGGCATAGCATTACATGGCATAGCATGATGTCGAAGACCAATGCGTAGCATGACATAGCATGGCGTGGCGACGCCCCGGGGTGGGGGGGGCTTTGCGGCCCCAAAAATCAACGAATCGGCAGCGAATGTGCAGTCATTTCCGATGGTTTCTTCGGGAGGGCATTTTGTAGATTTTGTGGCGTATTTGGAAGGACCGACAACCATGCCGGGGCATGGCACTCGAAGTAATGACGCCAGCGCTGCAGCGGGAGCACGATTCGGAACGAGCGGAAGCATGGAAATGAGGCCAGCGCTGCAGCGGGAGCACGATTCGGAACGCGCGGTAGCCCGAAAATGAGGCCAGCGCTTCTGCGAGAGCAGTATTTTGAACAACAGCCCAAGCGAAAACCCAAGTCCCGGGAATCTTGTGAGGAAAAAGACAGTACGCGGAGGAGTGCCCGGACATTCCCTGGACGCCACCAGGGGGGAGAGGAGAGTAGTATTCATATTGTGTAAGTACTAAGCCCTTTTCTCCGACGGGGAAGTCGGGTGCGACAAAGAGGGGGGTGATGACCAGGGGGGGTGGATATCATGGCGGGGGCCATGATATTTCCCCTGATTTCATGGCGCCTCTTCTTATTTCATTACGTCCCTGGTCCCCCCCCCTGGGCCGCGCACGTGCCGCCGGTCATGATTTGCACCCCCCCCTCTTGGACACCCCCACATGGCCGCTCCCGAGGAAGACGGAAGACGGAATATGGAAACGCCGTAAACCACTCACGCCCAGAGGGTTGGCGGGATCGGGCTCGTGGACGGCAGGCCCATGCCGACGGCGAGCGCGCAGGCAGGGGGCCAGGGCCGGCGGGGCGAAGCGGCCCGAAGCGGCTGGAAGTCCTCGAGCGGCCGCTCATGGGCGCCACCCCGGGGGCCAGCCTCGGGTTGCCGCGCTCGCCGGGGAAGAGGAGGAGTGGCCTGGCACCGCCCGCCTCGCGCGGGGACCGCAGCCCGTGGCCGGCGAAGACATGTCCATAGCCACGGCCTCGCGGGCCGGGGCCCCCGGGCCGCGAGTGCATGGGCGCGAGCCGGTGCACTGCTGCACGGGTGCCCCGCGCGGGGCGCCTCCGTGCCAGAACGCGCCTCCACGGGGCCGCGCCCGGGGATCCAGGCTGCGAGGGCGGGGGCAGGGACATGTGCGCCGCTCGTGATCCTCGTCGCCCTCTTCGCCCAGAGGTAGGCTGCGCCCTGTCATCAGTCCTGCCATCTGGCGTCACCTAGCATTTAAAGGCCTACTTCGTTGGCCGCGCCCCTCTGTGGTCCTGCTCCGCCCCTTGCCTGCTCTCTCGCCGCCGCCGCTTCCTGATCCTGGAGTTCCTTTCGGGTGCGGCCGCGCCGCGCCGCCCCGCGCCGCCCCGCGCGCGCGCGGTGCGCGGGGGGAGCTGGGCATCTTCCCGTTCGTCTCGCGCTCTTGGCCGCCCTTCCTTTCTTCAGCGGGCGTGTCTTCTTGCCTTTTATTCGTGCCTTGTCGTCTTGCCCTGTCTTCTTGCATGTCTCCCTGCCTGCCTCTTGGCCTGTCTTCTTGCCTGTTTGTTTTTGCCTTGTCGTCTTCCTTCCTTCAGCGGGTGGGGCTCCTCGCCCTCCTCGCCAGGAGCTCCAGGAGATGCTGCGCAGGGCCGTGGCGTGCAGCTTCAACGCCGTGTCCGTCGACGGCGACGAGTCGACGAGCGACACGGTGGCCCTCCTGTGCAGCCGCCGGGTGGAGTGCGGGGACGCGGGCGCCTTCGAGGCCCCAAGAGACTCACCAGGAGTCTGGTGGCCCAGACCTCCTCGCGCTGCGGCGAATCACGACGGGAGGCTTTTCGCTGCCCTCGGCCTCCAGGGGCCCGCCCCAGGCCTCGGAGCCGTCGAGAACGACTCGGCATGAAAAGCCGGTCCCGACACGGTGCTGCACTCGAGCGGTGCTGCGCAAGGCGCCAGTGTTGTGCAGTATGGCAGTAGTGCCCAACGTGGGGATACCCATCAGTTTAAATCACGTATCGTGAAGATTTTGCTCATTGCACCCATGCCGTCGTAAAATAACTTGCCCCCGGGAAGGGGCTAGACCTTTGGGTGTCGACGTTTTGCAAAAATCACGACGTCGGGGGTCTGGGAGGGGGGGTGAGGATTTCGGATCGAGGCTCAAGTGTTTCGGGATTTGGCGCGTTCCAGGGGTCTGCCTTGGTTGCGTGTGAAGGTGGAGGCGAGGGAGGTCTTCGTCGTACGCAGGCATGGCGCTGGTCGTGCTTCGAAGCGGAGGAGAAAATAGGAGGGGGAGCAGGATGAATGGATGGATGATGAGAATGATGTTGATGATGATGATGATGATGGTGATGATGATGATGCTGATGATGATGATGATGGTGATGATGATGATGATGATGATGATGATGATGATGATGATGATGATGCTAAGGCTGATGCCTGATGCTGACTGTTAATGATGGTGATGATAATGGTGATGATGATGAAAATGAAAATGATGATGCTGCTGATGATGATGATGATGATGATGCTGATGATGATGAGGAGGACGAGGAGGAAGAGGAATCAGGAGGAGGAGGAGGCGAGGAAGAAGACGGCACCGACCCCAGACATCCGACGAGCTGTAATGTCCCAACCCACAGCCCAGAGCTCTCCGCCCTCTTCCCGGCCGGCTGCTCTTCCTGCCGGCCTCCGTGCGGGGTGGGCCCCGGGGCCCGACAGAGGGCCCCAGAGGCCGATTTCGAAGGGAAGCGCGCCCACATCGAACCCAAGAGGAAGCACGAATTCAAGAGGAAGCACGCCCACATCGAAAAGTCCACGAACTCACGAGGAAGCGCGAACACGAGAGGAACCGCGCCCACCTCGAACCCAAGAGGAACCACGAACTCAAGAGGAAACGCGCCCACATCGAGAAGCCCACGAACTCACGAGGAAATGCGAACACGCCCACATCGAACCCAAGAGGAAGCACGAACTCCAGAGGAAGCACGCCCACATCGAGAAGTCCACGAACTCAAGAGGAAGCGCGAACTCGAGAAGAAACGCGCCCACATCGGACCCAAGAGGAGGCGCGAACTCAAGAGGAAACGCGCCCACATCGAGAAGTCCACGAACTCAGAAGGAAGCACGAACTCGAGAGGAAGCACGCCCACATCATGCCCAAGAGGAAGCACGAATTCAAGAGGAAATACGCCCACACCGAGAAGCCAAAGAACTCAGGACGAAGCGCGAACACGCCCACATCGAATGCAAGGAGAATCGCGGACTCAAGATGAGGCAGGCCCACATCGAGAAGTCCACGAACTCAAGAGGAAGCACGAACTCGAGAGGAGGCGCGCCCACATCGAACCCAAGAGGAAGCACGAACTCAATGGGAAGCGCGCCCACATCGAGAAATCCACGATCTCAAGAGGAAGCACGAACCCGAGAGGAAGCACGCCCACATCGAGAAGTCCACAAGCTCAAGAGGAAGCACGAACTCGAGAGGAAGCACGCCCGCGTCGATGCCCAAGAGGAAGCACGGGCTCAAGAGGAAGCACGCCCACATCGAGAAGTGCACGAACTTAGGAGGAAGCTAAGCACGAACTCGAGAGGAAGCACGCCCGCATCGAACCCAAGAGGAGGCGCGAACTCAAGAGGAAACACGCCCACATCGATAAGTCCACGAACCCAAGAGGAATCACGAGCGCTCCTTCATCGAACCCAAGAGGAAGTACGAACTCAAGAGGAAGCACGCCCGCATCGAGAAGTCCGCGAAGACAAAAGGAAGCACGAAACCGGAAGGAAGCGCGTCCACATTGAACCCAAGAGGAAGCACGAAGTCAAGGGGAAGCGCGCCCACATCGAGAAGTCCACAACCTCAAGAGGAAGCGCGAACTCGAGAGGAAGCACGCCCATTTCAAACCCAAGAGGAAGCACGAACTCAAGAGGAGGCACGCCCGCATCAAGAAGCCCGCGAACCCAGGAAGAAGCGCGAACGCGCCCACGTCGAACCCAAGGGGGAGCACGAACTCAGGACTAAGCACGCCCGCGTCGAGGAGCCCACGAACCCAAGGGGAAGCACGAACTCGAGAGGAGGCACGCCCGCATCGAACCCGAGAGGAAGCACGGGCCCAGGGGGAAGCGCGCCCACGTCGAGAAGCCCACGAACCCAAGAGGAAGCACGAACTCGAGAGGAGGCACGCCCGCATCGAACCCGAGAGGAAGCACGGGCCCAAGAGGAAGCGCTCCCGCATCGAGAAGCCCACGAAACCAAGGGGAATCACGAACTCGAGAGGAAGCGCGCCCACGTCGAGCCCAAGAGGGAGCGCGATCTCAAGAGGAAGCACGCCCGCGCCGAGACGCCCGCGAACTCGAGGATAAGCACGTCTTCGAGAGGATGCACGCCCACATTGAACCCAAGAGGAAGCGCGATCTCAAGAGGAAGCACGCCCACATCGAGAATCCCGCGCCCCCACGAGGACGCACAAACGCACCCGCATCGAACCCGAGGGGAAGTGCGAACTCAAGAGGAGGCGCGCCCGCGTCGAGAAGCCCGCGAACTCAAGAGGAAGCGCGAACTCGAGAGGAAGCGCGCCCGCATCGATACCAAGAGGCAGCGCGAAGTTAAGGGGGGGCGCGCCCACATTGAGAAGCCCGCGAACTCAAGGGGAAGCGCGCGCTCGAGAGGAAGCGCGCCCGCGCCGATCCCGAGAGGAAGCGCGAGCTCAAGGGGAAGCGCGCCCGCGCCGAGAAGCCCGCGAACATGCGAGGAAGCGCAAACGCGCCCGCATCGAACCCAGGAGGGCGCGCGAACTCAAGAGGTGCACGCCCGCATCGAGAAGCCCGCGAACTCAAGAGGGAGCGCGTGCCCGGGAGGAAGCACGCCCACGCCGAACCCAAACGAGAGCGCGATCCCAAGAGGAAGCACGCCCGCATCAAAAAGCCCACGACCTCAAGAGGAAGCACGGGCTCGATAGGAAGCGCGCCCGCGTCGAACTCAAGAGGGGGCGCGACCGCAAGACGACGCGCGCCCGCGTCGAGAAGCCCGCGAACTCAAGGGGAAGCGCGAACTCGAGAGGAAGCCCGCCCACATCGAACCAAAGGGGGAGCACGAACTCACGGGGGAGCACGCCCGCATCGAGAGGCCCACGGATTTAGGGGGAAGCGCGGACTCGAGAGGAAGCGCGCCCACATCGAACCCAAGGGGAAGCACGACCTCGGGAGGAAGCGCGACCACGTCGAGAAGCCCACGAACCCAAGAGGAAACGCGGACCCGGGAGGAAGCGCGCCCGCATCGGGCGCAAGAGGCAGCGCGAACTCAAGAGGAAGCGCGCCCACATCGAGAAGACCGCGAACGCGAGGGGAAGCGCGGACTCGAGAGGACGCACGCCCACATCAAACCCAAGAGGAAGCACGCACTCAAGAGGAAGCACGCCCACGTCGGGAAGCCCACGATCTCGCGAGGATGCGCGAACTCGAGGGCGAGCGCGCCCGCGTCGATATCGCGAGGCAGCGCGAATTCAAGAGGAAGCGCGCCCACATCGAGAAGCCCGCGAACACGAGAAGAAGCACGAACTCAAGAGGAAGCACGCCCGCGCCGATAAGTCAACGAACTCAAGCGGAAGAACGAACTCGAGAGGAAGCACGCCCACATCGAATCCAATAGGAAGTGCGAACTCAAGAGGAAGCCCGCCCACATCGAGAAGTCCACGAACTCAAGAGGAAGCGCGGACTCGAGAGGAAGCGAGTCCACATCGAACCCAAGAGGAAGCGCGAACTCAATGGGAAGCACGCCCGCGTCGAGAAGCCCACGAACCCAAGAGGAAGCACGGACTCGAGCGGAAGAACGCCCGCGTCGATGCCGAGGGGAAGTGCGGACTCATGGGGGGGCGCGCCCACGTCGAGATGTCCACGAGATTATGAGGAAGCGCGAACTCGAGAGGAAGCGCGCCCACAGCGGACCCAAGAGGAAGCACGAACTCAAGAGGAAGCACGCCCACATCGAGAAGCCCACGCACTCAAGGGGAAGCGCGAACTCGAAAGGAAGCGCGCCCACATCGAAGCCAAGAGGAAGCGCGAACTCGAGGGGGGGCACGCCCGCATCGAGAAGCCCACGAACTCAAGAGGAAGCGCGGACCCGAGAGGAAGCACGGCCGCATCGAACCAACGAGAAAGCACGAACCCAAGAGGAAGCACGCCCACATCGAGAAGTCCACGAACCCACGAGGAAGCACGAGATACCGAGGGGAAGCACGAACTCCAGAGGAAGCCCGCCCATATCGAGAAGTCCACGAACTCAAGAGGAAGCACTAACTCGAGAGGAAGCACGGCCACAGCGAACCCAATAGGAAACACGAACTCAAGAGGAAGCACACCCACGCCGAGAAGTCCACGACACCAAGAGGAAACACGAAAGTCGAGATGGAGCACGCCCCCGTTGAACCCAAGAGGAAGCGCGAACTCAAAAACTGAAGCACGCCCACATCGAGAAGTCCACAAACTCAAGAGGAAACACGAACTCGAGAGGAAGCACGCCCACATCGAACCCAAGAGGAGGCACGAACTCAAGAGGAAGCACGCCCACATCGAGAAGTCAACGAACTCTAGAGGAAGCACGAACTCGAGAGGAAGAACGCCCGCATCGAACCCAAGAGGAAGCACGACCTCAATAGCAAACACTCCCATATCGATAAGCCACGCTCTCAGGAGGAAGCACGGACTCGGGAGGAAGCACGCTCACATCGAACCCAAGAGGAATCACGAACTGAAGAGGAAGCACGCCCACATCGAGAAGTCCACGAACCCAAGAGGAAGCACGAACTCGAGAGGAAGCACGCCCACATCGAACCGAAGAGGAAACACGAGCTCACGAGGAAACACGCCCAAGAACACCGACGAAATATGTTTGGCCTGTTTTCCGCCACCACCATCATAAGTTGGAGGGGGGAGGAGATGGAGGATGAGGAGAAGGACGAGGAGGAGGAGGAGGAGGAGGAGGAGGAGGAGGAGGAGGAGGAGGAGGGGGAGAAGGAGGAGGAGGAGGAGGACCCCCTCCCCTTCCTACTTGTGGTGGTGGGGGTGGAAATCGAACCCACCAACATTGAGGAGAAACCTCAGAAAATCGAGAACATCGAGGAGTCATATCGTCGGACGTCTGGGATGACGGCCTGCGGCGACGACAAAGCGGTCTTCGGCGAGGGTGCCACCCCTCGTCGTCCTCCTCCTCCTCCTCCTCCTCCTGCTCCTCCTCGTCCTCCTCCTCCTCCTCCTCCTCGTCCTCCTCCTCCTCCTCCTCCTCCTCCTCCTCCTCCTCCTCCTCCTCCTCCTCCTCCTCCTCCTCCTCCCAGGCCGCCCTGCGGGAGGTGTGCCGGGATCTCGCGCAGCAGCTCGTGCGGAACGGCGAGGGTACCCAGCACGTGATGCGGGTCTCGGTGACCACGGGGCCTTGTGCCACGGCGTATGCCCCAAACCCCTCTCCTTGGCATCGCCTGGACGTGTGCATTTTCTTTCGGCGAGAACCATCGAGGAGCATCCTGGATCTTCGGGGGCCCTGGAAATGACATATGGCCGTTGTTCTGCCGGTTCCGTTTCGCAGTTTGCTTGCCGGTTCCGTCGCCGTCTTTTTGCAGGTTTTGTCGCCGTTTTTTTGTTCCAGTTCCGTCTCGGGTTCCAATCCCAAATTTTCGGTTTGCCGTTTCCGGTCGTCATTGTTCCCTACCTAGGCTCTGCCTAGAAGGGTTCTTACTCTCTAGCTTAAAGGGGCCGGGCAGTGCTACACGCCCCGGGCGGTTCCCCCAGTCCCCGCCCCGCGGTTCCCCCAGTCCCCTGGGAGCTTTAGCCTTAGCTTTAGCTTTAGCTTAGCTTTAGCTTTAGCTTTAGCTTTAGCTTTAGCTTTAGCTTAGCTTTAGCTTAGCTTTAGCAAAGTGTTAGCTTAGCTTTAGCTTAGCTTTAGCTTATCGTTAGCTTAGCTTTAGCTTAGCTTCAACTTAGTGTTAGCTTAGCTTTAGCTTAGCGTTAGCTTAGCTTCAGCTTAGGGTTAGTTTAGCTTTAGCTTAGTGTTAGCTTTAGCTTAGCTTCGCTTTAGCTTCGCTTTAGCTTAGCTTTAGCTTAGCTTTAGCTTAGCTTTAGCTTGGCTTTAGCGTGGCTTTAGCTTAGCTTTAGCTTAGCTTTAGCTTAGCTTTAGCTTAGCCTTAGCTTAGCTTTAGCTTAGCTTTAGCTTAGCCTTAACTTAGCTTTAGCTTAGCTTTAGCTTAGCCTCAGCTTGGTGTTAGCTAAGCTTTAGCTCAGCTTTAGGTTAGCGTTAGCTTAGCTTTAGCTTATATTTAGCTTTAGCTTTAGCTTAGCGTTAGCTTCGCTTTAGCTTAGCTTTAGCTTAGCTTTAGCTTAGCTTCAGCTTAGCTTTAGCTTAGCTTTAGCTTAGTGTTAGCTTAGCCTTAGCTTAGCTTTAGCCTTAGCTTTAGCTTAGCTTCACCTTAACTGTAGCTTATATTTAGCTTAGCTTCAGCTTAGTGTTAGCTCAGCTGTAGCTTAGCTTTAGCTTAACTTTAGCTTAGCTTCAGCTTAATGGTGGCTTAGCTTTAGCTTAGTGTTAGCTTAGTTTTAGCTTACTGTTAGCTTCAGCTTAGCTTTAGCTTAGCTTTAGCTTAGCTTCAACTTAGCCTTAGCTTTAGCTTAGCTTTAGCTTAGCTTTAGCTTAGCTTTAGCTCAGCTTTAGCTTAGCTTTAGCTTAGCTGTAGCTTAGCTTTAGCTTAGCTTCACCTTAGCTTCAGCTTAGCTTTAGCTTAGCTTTAGCTTAGCTTCAGCTCAGCCTTAGCTTAGCTTTAGCTTAACTTTCGCTTAGCTTCAGCTTAGCTTTAGCGTAACTTTAGCTTAGCTTTAGCTTAGCTTTAGCTTATCTTTAGCTTCAGCTTCAGCTTAGCTGTAGCTCAGCTGTAGCTTAGCTTTAGCTTAGCTTTAGCTCAGCTTTAGCTTAGCTTCAGCTTAGCTTTAGCTTAGCTTTAGCTTAGTGTTAGCTTAGCCTTAGCTTAGCTTTAGCTTAGCTTCAGCTTAGCTTCAGCTTAGCTTTAGCTTAGCTTTACTGTTACTACTAATGCTGCTTTCCTAGGGGCTCCAACTCCTAGGTAGGGTCGCACTGGGATATTTGTTTTTACCGTTTCCATGTTCAAGAGACGCTGGTTCTGCAACCGATGAAAAAACGGCCTGGGCCCGTTTTCGGGCCCTATTGAGTCATGGATCATCGAGCCAAACAAAAAACGCGCGAAACCAAAGAAATGCTCAGGAAATGGGCTTCCGAGCGACGGCAAATCTCAGGGGCAACGTCAGTAGAGGCCTCCCAGATGCGGTCGGAGCAGATGGGGTCGGAGGATCGCCCGCATCGGCGATGCATCGGCGATGCGGCTCGATGTGGGGCACGATTTTCTCCACGCCGACGTCGCCGATGCGTCGCCGACTTCGCTGATGCATCGCGGATGCTTCGGTGATGCATCGGCGATGCGTTGGCGATGCGGCGCGCTCCTCCGACCCCATCTGCTTCGACCCCATCAAGGAGGCCTATAGGGGGGGACAGGATAGGGGGGGGGGGGCGGTTCGGGGGACGGTTCGGGTCTTCGGGGCTCGAGGCTCTTGGGTATTCTCGGCGGTTGTTTCCGGCCTCTCGGGGTGCCTTCCAGCGGCTGCGCCTCGCCGAGGACGTTCCTTGGGGTGTTTGGATTTCGAGGCTCGAGGCCTTCGGATAGTCTCGTCGGATCTAGGCGTTTTTTCCGGCCTCGGGAGTACCTTCCAGCGGCTGCGCCTCGCCGAGGGCATTCCCGGCGGGGGTGTTTGGATTTCGGGGCTCGAGGCTTTTGGGTATTCTCGTCGGTTCTCGGTGGTTTTCCGGCCGAGTGCCTTCCAGCGGCTGCACCTCGCCGAGGGCATTCCGGGGGATGTTTGGATCCTTCCGAACGGTAGCCAGAGACCCGAGTCATGGCCCGGAAACCAGGGGGCAACGTAGGGGGGAATGGGCTCAGTAGCTCAGGGGGGGATGCATCGATCCCCCCAGTCGCAACTAGTCTTAGGTAGGGCATGTACCTCTACAGGAGGAATCTCCATATTGGTCCGAAAATCAGCTGGGGACGATGTTTCTACCATTTTCGATTTCTGTTCGAGCACGTTTCAACTATTGGTTGTTTGTCGTCCAGAATCCGCCTGTAGGGGCACGTGCCCGACCTGACACTAATCGCCGACGTGGTTTCGCTGTCCGGGGGCCTGTCGGCGAGCTCGGTGTTTCCCCCCCCCCCCCCCTCTCCCCCCCCCCCCCCCCCCCCCGAGGCGGTGCCCCCTATCTCGTTCCCCCCTCGCGCAGGCGCATCGAGGCTCCAGGATCGAGGTCTGAGGCTCGAGGCTCGAGGATCGAGGTCTTTGATCGGGGCTCGAGGTTTGAGGCTCGAGGCTCCGGGTTCGAGGATCGAGGTCTTTGATCGGGGCTCCTGGTTTGAGGCTCGAGGCTCCGGGTTCGAGGATCGAGGTTCTGATCGTTGGGTGGATCGTCTCCTGGAGCGCCCTGGGCGCCACGGCTGGGTGCTTCCATCGCAGTCCTGTCTGCAGGGCGCCGCAGGACGGGTCCAGGCCCAGACATGATGGCGTCTTAAAAAAATCAGGACGGGAGGTTTTTCGCTATTTTCGGCCCCTGGGGGCCCTCGCCGGGCCTCGGGACCGTCAAAAAACGACTCAGGATGAAAAACCGGCCTCAGGGAAAGGGATTAGATTTCCAGGGGCGCCATCAGGACGTCGCATGTCTGTGGGGTGAAGTCGGGCGTGCCCCCCTGCAGGAGGAGCATCCAAGCGTGGTCAACACAGATAGTGGATAGTGTGGGGGCGCTCTTCCTGCCATGTTTGGAAATTTTCCGCAATCAGAGCTTGCCTCTGTAGGGGTCCTAGCGGATTCAGATGGTTAGGGTAGGTTTGCCGCCGATTTTCGCCGCACGCCTGGGTGCCCGGGTGCCCGGGTGCCCGGGGGTGCCCGGGTGCACGGGTGCCCGGGGGTGCCCGGAGGTACCCAGGGGTGCCCGGAGGTGCCCCAGGGTGCCCGGGTGCCCCGGGGTGCCCTGGTGTTCTATCGCCCTATAGCCCTATAGCCCTATAGCCCTATATCCCTATAGACCTATAGCCCTATAGCCCTATAGCCCTATATAGCCCCATAGCCCTAATAGCCCTATAGCCCTATAGCCCTATAATCCTTATGCCCTATAGCCCAATCGCCCTATAGCCCTATAACCCTATAGCCCTTATAGGCCTATAGCCCTATAGCCTTATTGCCTTGTAGCCCTACAGCCCTATGTTGCTATAGCCCTATAGCCCTGTAGTCCTATAGCCCTATGGTCATATAACCGTATAGCCCCATAGCCCTACAGCCCTACAAATATTATGATTTGTTTTTTTCTCCGGTATCATTGGTATATGTTTTGACTATGTTTTGTTTGTCTTCCAGAATCCGCCTTCAGGGGCACATGCCCGACCGAAGTCTAGGGGCCGGTTCTGAGGGTCAGATGGCCAGACCTTTCGCGACGCCTCCAGAAGGGCATCGCCCTCGAGGGATCGGGCGGCTGAGCTCTCTTCCTCGGCGAAAGGTGGCGGAAGTCTGGACGGGGGGGCTGAACTTGAAGCAAGCCCCCAGACAACCTGCACGTGCGGAAACCACGCGAGGCGAAAGGCGCTTGCACGCCAGGGCTCGTCCGAAGGGCGGCGGAGGGTTGGGGGGAGGGGTCGAACGCCACGCAAGGAATCTTGCCCGAATCTGGAGAGAGAGAGAGAGAGAGAGAGAGCAAAGAGAAACACAGTCTCGAGGTTGGGCTCTCTTCCTCGAGGGGAGGGCGGCTCGAAGGGCGGCGGGAGCAGAGCGGGGGGGCGGCTCCGCCAGCGGCGGGGCGGAACGCAGGGCCGTGTCGGGAGCGGAGGGTGCGTCTGCAGAGGGGCGGCGGCGTGCTTGGGCCGCGGGCCTCTGGAGCGGGCAGGGGGCCACAGGCGAGCCCTGCCCCTACACCTTAGGCGATGCTTACGAGAACTCAAGTTTTCGGCCGGAGTCTCGATTATTCTGAACGTCTCAATGTAAATCCTATGATTTTAATAGAAGTTCTGGGTTTTTTTTATTCAAGTTCTGAGACTATGAATTTCTCAACCCATGATTTCTTAAGCATTTCGCAGGGTGTACCCCCCACGAGTTCTGAGGGGGAGGGTGGGGTTCACTTCGCTCGGGAGCCCCCGAGCGAAGTGAACCGCACCCTCGCCCGCAGAACTCGTGGGGGGTAGGGGCAGGGTTCGCATGTGGCCCCCCTCGCGGGCCAGGTGTCCGCCCACCCCGACCCGAGCATAGGCATAAAACGCCATAGGCCATAAACATGTCGCGGATATAACAAGAATACAAATAATAATACGAGTATTAAGAATAATATTG